TATAGCAGCTAGAATATCTCAACTCATATCACTATAATAGCAGCTAGAATATCTCAACCCTTATCACTATAATAACAGCTAGAATATCTCAACCCTTATCACTGTAATAACAGCTAGAATATCTCAACTCATATCACTATAATAGCAGCTAGAATATCTCAACTCATATCACTATAATAACAGCTAGAATATCTCAACCCTTATCACTGTAATAGCAGCTAGAATATCTCAACCCATATCTCAACTCATATCACTATAATAGTAGCTAAAATATCTCAACCCTTATCACTATAATAGCAGCTAAAATATCTCAACCCTTATCACTATAATAGCAGCTAGAATATCTCAACCCTTGTCACTGTAATAGCAGCTAGAATATCTCAACCCTTATCACTATAATAGCAGCTAGAATATCTCAACTCATATCACTATAATAGCAGCTAGAATATCTCAACCCTTATCACTATAATAGCAGCTAGAATATCTCAACTCTTATCACTATAATAGCAGCTAGAATATCTCAACCCTTATCACTATAATAGCAGCTAGAATATCTCAACCCATATCACTATAATAGCAGCTAAAATATCTCAACTCTTATCACTATAATAGCAGCTAGAATATCTCAACTCATATCACTATAATAGCAGCTAGAATATCTCAACCCTTATCACTATAATAGCAGCTAGAATATATCAACTCTTATCACTATAATAGCAGCTAGAATATCTCAACCCTTATCACTATAATAGCAGCTAGAATATCTCCCCTTGTCACTGTAATAGCAGCTAGAATATCTCAACTCATATCACTATAATAGCAGCTAGAATATCTCAACCCTTATCACTGTAATAGCAGCTAGAATATCTCAACTCATATCACTATAATAGCAGCTAGAATATCTCAACTCATATCACTATAATAGCAGCTAGAATATCTCAACCCTTGTCACTATAATAGCAGCTAGAATATCTCAACTCATATCACTATAATAGCAGCTAAAATATCTCAACTCATATCACTGTAATAGCAGATAGAATATCTCAACTCATATCACTATAATAGCAGCTAGAATATCTCAACTCATATCACTATAATAGCAGCTAGAATATCTCAACCCTTATCACTATAATAGCAGCTAAAATATCTCGACTCTTGTCACTATAATAGCAGCTAGAATATCTCAACTCATATCACTGTAATAGCAGATAGAATATCTCAACTCATATCACTATAATAGCAGCTAAAATATCTCAACCCTTATCACTATAATAACAGCTAGAATATATCAACCCTTATCACTATAATAGCAGCTAGAATATCTCAACTCATATCACTATAATAGCAGCTAAAACACACTATAATAGCAGATAGAGGCTTTAAGTGCTCATATTAGAGCTTTACAAGTTAGTAATATAACAAAACAATTTTCACTGTTAAAATACTGTAGTCTTCAATATATCAATAATAGAGGGATATAGAAATATTTCCAATAATACAACTAATTATAACTGTTATTAATTATATTAAACATAATTTTACCTAAAACAAGGCTTTAAAAACAAAAAAACATTTTGCACAGTTTGGGTTCCAGGTTGGTCCACTCTACTCCCAGGTATAATAAATAGTAATTGAAACTATATTTATTACTAATTACACTACCTACAAAATTTAGTGGATTGTTCAATTATGTTGTGAATCATTATACTGTTAAATAAGTTTGCGTGTGTAGCAGAGTCTATTTAAGCATTTGGGGATCTTCACAATTTCAAGCTATTTCTAACTTATACCTTGACTGCAATAGCCACCTTTTGGAAGTTTGTAAATGACGCTTTTGATTGGATTGTACGCCAGCCAATCAGAAGTCTCGATAAAATATCCGTGGATAAAGACGAGTGCTTTGATTAGCTGTATTCGCTGACAGACAATCCAATCAAATCGCTGCATTCCGTGGTACATGAATAGTGACTATAACAGTCAAGGTATAAGATGAAGTTCGTAATACCTTGACACTGTGAAGATGGTATTTGTGCGGTATCAGATAGATATCAGGTATAATTTCTACAGGCTGGAACTACACCAATACAGTTTAAACATAATGATTAATTATAGATTCGAAATGTTCCTGTCTTCCCGATCGTCTTTCTGGTTCGCCATTCTTTAATACATATTTCTACAAATATAAAATACAGAGAGAGGTTAGATGTAGATTTTTAAATATAAAACAGACAGACATAAAAACGTATAACACCCACTCTTGGCATTGATCTTTTCTGCATTGCCCATACCCATTTACTGCTGAAACAAAACTCTATAAATCATAATTACCTCCAATTCCTCAAGAGACGTCTCTTCACTTTCCACCCTGGCTCCAATATCAATACTATAACTACTGTATCTTTCCTATAAATAACAATAGCTGCAGTATCATCAAGGGCAATAAATCAAGCATCATTTAGGCTTAAGATAGAAAGGGTTAAAAACTCAGCTGTCTGACATAATGCAGGTAGATTCTAATCTAAAAATAGCGTGTAATATAATATTGATTTATCTTACCAGAACTTGCATACTTAAAACACCCTCGTCTACAATCCTAGCTGCACATTTTAATCCTCGGGCAAAGGCGTCCATAGCACCTACAAACACAAACCAAAATATCTTATTGTTTTATCTACACAATGATAATATTTAAGGCTTCAATACCTTTGTATGCGTACCAAGAATATTAAGAGGAGGCTAGAGAACCCAATAGGTGGCTAGAGAACCCATTAGGAGGCTAGAGGACCCAAGAGGCGGCTAGAGGACCCAATAGGTGGCTAGAGAACCCAATAGGTGGCTAGAGAAACCAATAGGTGGCTAGAGAACCCAATATGTGGCTAGAGAACCCAATAGGAGACTAGAGAACCCAATAGGAGACTAGAGAACCCAATAGGTGGCTAGAGAATCCAATAGGTGGCTAGAGAACCCAATAGGTGGCTAGAGAACCCAAGAGGAGGCTAGAGAACCCAATAGGAGGCTAGAGGACCCAAGAGGAGGCTAGAGAACCCAATAGGTGGCTAGAGAACCCAATAGGAGGCTAGAGAACCCAATAGGTGGTAAACTATGAGGTCGACAACAAGATTCAATTTGTATAAAAATGAAACGTGAATATCAGTTATAAGTTATATATACACGAGAACCAGTGTGACGATCCTTGTCATCTTTGCTGTCAATAAAATAAAGTTTATGAGGAACTGACCTATATGAGCTATAAACATATCAGCTAGCTCTGTAGACTCACGGCGAACTTTACAATCAAAATTTAACCCTCCTGGTTGGAGACCACCTTGTTCTATCACAATCTATAGAAATAATACACAGTTCAATAAATAATACCTATTGTACACAACGTTTCAACAATTTACATTCAATACATACGTTTAATTTGTTATAACCCCGAAGCCTGAGTTGCAGAAGTGCGCTGTCCAAGCTTTGCCAAACCCACTGTAAGCACCCCCTTGCACTGACATCCAGTCACTCCAACATAAAATCATAAATTTGCATGAAATCCACGATGGTTGTCAAATGACATAAATAATTATATCTTAATCTGTTTATAACATCTTTTAATGTTCAATCCCCATTAATGTAATATTATCAGATAGAAAATCAGACTATAAATAATAAATATTCATAATTTGACCAGCCTATTAACAGTGTATTTATTGTTGTCGAGTTATCTGATAATTTAAAAGACATCACTCAGAAAGCTGTGACATAATCAACATATAGTTGTATAATATAGATAATAAAATACATTTATTATAGATAATCAAATACATTTATTATAGATAATCAAATACATGTATTATAGATAATCAAATACATGTACTATAGATAATCAAATACATGTATTATAGATAATCAAATACATGTATTATAGATAATCAAATACATGTATTATAGATAATCAAATACATGTATTATAGATAATCAAATACATGTATTATAGATAATCAAATACATGTATTATAGATAATCAAATACATGTATTATAGATAATCAAATACATGTATTATAGATAATCAAATACATGTATTATAGATAATCAAATACATGTATTATAGATAATCAAATACATGTATTATAGATAATCAAATACATGTATTATAGATAATCAAATACATGTATTATAGACAATCAAATACATGTATTATAGATAACAATTTGTTTGGCCTGACCGTATACTGCAAAAAAAAAACTGAGAAACTTACCTTCATAATAGCTGTGGTATTTTTAACATCCATGGGAAACTGATCTGTATCCCAACCGAGATCAGGAGAACCTGTATTAGAATCGATAGAACCCAACATACCAAACCTGAAATAGATTCCAAAATAACAGTACCGTACTATAGATCTGTTGTATATAAATATTATATTCTAATTGTATATAAATGTTCAACAACTCCGACGGCTGTAGAAATACTATAGGTATGTTGGTAGAGTCGGAGTCTAGAAGGGTTATATTATTCCTAATTGTATATAAATGTTCAACAACTCCGACGTCTGTTTACTGTAGAAATACTATAGGTATGTTGGTAGAGTCGGAGTCTAGAAGAGTTATATTATATTCTAATTGTATATAAATGTTCAACAACTCCGACGTCTGTTTACTGTAGAAATACTATAGGTATGTTGGTAGAGTCGGAGTCTAGAAGGGTTATATTATATTCTAATTGTATATAAATGTTCAACAACTCCGACGTCTGTTTACTGTAGAAATACTATAGGTATGTTGGTAGAGTCGGAGTCTAGAAGGGTTATATTATTCCTCATTGTATATAAATGTTCAACAACTCCGACGTCTGTTTACTGTAGAAATACTATAGGTATGTTGGTAGAGTCGGAGTCTAGAAGAGTTATATTATATTCTAATTGTATATAAATGTTCAACAACTCCGACGTCTGTTTACTGTAGAAATACTATAGGTATGTTGGTAGAGTCGGAGTCTAGAAGGGTTATATTATATCCTAATTGTATATAAATATTCAACAACTCCGACGTCTGTTTACTGTAGAAATACTATAGGTATGTTGGTAGAGTCGGTGTCTAGAAGGGTTATATTATATTCTAATTGTATATAAATGTTCAACAACTCCGACGTCTGTTTACTGTAGAAATACTATAGGTATGTTGGTAGAGTCGGAGTCTAGAAGGGTTATATTATATTCTAATTGTATATAAATGTTCAACAACTCCGACGTCTGTTTACTG